AGGCCTGTGCTCAGAGTAAGTGCTCAGTCGGCGTTTGCTGGATGACTGAAGTGTGGCTCTGTCAATCCAGGCATAGCCACACTCCAGATGTGTGACCTTGGACCAGTCTCCCTTCCCTGCATTCAGTCAGCAAATGATCCTTTGTACTGGACACAGGAGTCAAACCAGGTCTGTCTGGCTTCCAGTTCTCCTTCTGCTCACCCAGTTCTACTTGCCCCAGAAAAACAACACTGTAGAAATTTTTGACGCCTGGAGCCAGGCAAGCCCAGTCTGAAGTACTGTGCTCTGCCGCTGATGCCCTGGTGTCACTGCGGCCAGTGCCCTGGCTCCACCCACTGTGCACATCTCTGTGTGCTCATGTCCACTCCACCTTCTTGTTTGTTTGGGGTTTTTTTTGGAAATAATTATTCCTTTAGGGGCCTCCCTGGTGGAGCAGGTGTTAAAGTCTCAGCGCTATGAAGCTACTGCCAGCCACTGCGGCATGAGTTTGATCCCCAGCCAGGGAGCTGACCCCCATGGCACAGCAGACCTCTCCTGTCTCACTCGCTGCTCCCCTCAGCAGTGTATCTCAGTGGATCCGCCTGTCCTGCTCCCCACTCTGTCTCTGGTGAATCCTCTCACCCTCTGCACCTCTGGCTTACACCCCAGTTCTTGTATGCATAAATATATAAAAATAAATCTTTTTTAAAAAAGAATTATTCTTGTATCATAAGAATGATACAAGATCATAAGAATGTGGGGGTTTTTTGCATAGAAGAACTGGGGTGTAGCCAGAGGTGTGGTGAGTGAGAGGATTCACCAGAGACAGAGTGGGGAGCAGAACAGGCAGATCTACTGAGATACACTGCTGAGGGCAGCAGCAAGTGAGACCGGAGAGGTCTGTTGTGCCATGTGGGTAGCTCCCTGGCTGGGGATCGAACTCAGGCCACTTGGCTGCGGGAGGGCCATCATAGTGGTAGGGCTGAGACTTAACCCCTAAGCCAACAGGGAGACCCATGTCCACTCCATTTTCAATCCCCCCCGCTGCAGGGTCGCCATCATGCCCACCACCACTTGGCTGGCATTGGAGGGGGGGGCTGGCACCACAGTCTACCTGGACCTGAGTTATATCCGCACATGGCTCCCCCACTCCATCCCCAGCCCCCAGGACATCCAGGCAGACACTGGGTGTGATCTGTTGCTGTCACAGCTCCTGCTGATGAATCTTCCTCTGCCTGCAGCTTCTGCTCGCCATGCTCCAGTGTCCAGCCCGGGGCTGGATACTGGGGCCGGTAAATGTCTGTTGCTGAACAAGTGAGCAGACCTCAGGAGTGGGGGTGGGGACTCCACCTGCATCCCCACAATTATGACTGGGGAATGGGGTGCAGGGTGTGAGGGGCGTGAGCTGGGCACCCTCACCCTGGAGCCCCACACCCACTGGGGTTCCCCCCTCTCCCTCATGGATGGGTGGGGGTAGGAGGGCACTGGGGGACGTGATAGGGTACCTGGGCTGTGGGCTGAGCTGGGTGAGGAAGGACAGCCTGCCCCGGGAAGGATAGCTGCACATCTTGGAGCTGCCTGAGAGCCTGGGGCCAGTGGCTTCAGCAGAATTCCAAGGACAGTGAAGGTGAATGTGGGTGTGCAAGGGGGAGCTGCCCATCCTTATATGGCCCAGTGTCAGACTAGTGCCAGGGCTGGGCTGACAGGCAGGAGGCCTGGGTTCTGATGCCCACTATGCCATCAATTTTCTGTGTGACCTTGGGCAAGCCCCTGACCCTCTCTGAGTGTCTCTGTTCAAGAAGAGGATTAAGTCCATGCAGAGGTGATCAGCAATAACACCCCCAGTTCCAGGGTAGCCAGAACCACCTCCACTCACCCTGGCCATATCCCAGAATGGGTGAGCAAGGGACCCTGGCTGGAACCACTGCCCAACCCCTTCCATCTGTCCCTGTCTGAGGCTGAAGGGGGCACAGCGGGATCCCCAGGCTACACTGTTCTCTGCAGGGGCCCCTCCCTGTGCCCTCTGCCCCTGGAGCTGCCGGGCAGCCAGCTGGGAGCATCTCAGCTATGGCAAGCAGCCTGAGTCAGGGTGAGTCAGTGCTCCCACCAAGGTAGATCCAATCACTCCACCACTGGAAGAGGCAAGGTCACAGGCCGGGCCACCCAGGATGACACCCCAGAGCATGGCCACAGGCAAACCCAGCTTCCCTTCCCCACACAAGGCAGGCACGCACCTGGCACAGCACCAGGCACTAGGGCATTATGGGGATAGAGCAGCTGGTCCCTCTGAGAGATCCTTTCCCAGGCCAGATTTGGGGACGGAGCAGCAGGTGTGCTGAAGGCAGAGCATGGGGTTTCCAAACCCCAAGGACTGGACACAGCACCAGCTCCAGGACAGGCACAAATGCCCTGGCATTGCTGGCGCATAGCAGGTACTTCGCCTGCATCTACCGAATGCATGCTCTTCAGGCTTCCCTTGCATGTAGGGAAGCGAGTGAGATAATGCATCGTACCTGTGTTCACCACCGCTTTTATTCTTAGTCCTAAGTTAAGCACCTACTATGTGCCAGTTATTTTGCGTGTGTTATCTACAAATCCTGACAGCAATCCCATGAGGTGAGATTTTTCACCCTCCGTTGACAGATAGAAAAACAGGCTCAGGGAAGTGAAACAACTTGCTCAAGGTCACACAGCTTGTGTGAGCTGAGCCCCTTCACAGCAGGTCTGCCCACACCAAGGACCACTCTCCACTCAGACTTTACTGCAGAGAAGGCATGGGGGTTCCAGCCCTGGCAGCCCCACAGGGCCCAGATCCTGCCCTCTGGGGGCCTCCAGCTCCACCCACCCGGGGCCATCACCGTGAACCTGGCTTCCTCACCTGTAAAAGCGACAGTGTCACCCGCCCTGTGCACAGATGGAGTGAGGCCAAGGTGAAAGCAGGTGCTTACCACACTGAAGAGCTGTCTGTGCGTGTGTGTGTGTGTGTGTGTGAGAGAGAGAGAGAGAGAGAGAGACTGTAAATGCAAGTGTGCATAAATATGCTTGCATATGACTGTGAGTGTGTGGGTGGGTGTGACTGTGTGTAAATGCGAGTGTGCATAAATATGCATACAAATGGCTGTTAGGTGAGTGTGTGCCAGTGCCTGTGTGTCCACGGCATGGGCCAGGGGTGTTAGCACGTGTGAGTGTGCCTGGTGTGCAAGTGTAGGTGTGGGAGGTAGGTTAGAGTTCTGGGCTCCATTAGAGGGATCCCCGGCTGAAAAAAGGCCCTTTCCTCCCCCGGGGGGCAGTCTCGCCCCAGAAGGTGCTGCGGGACACCCGCCAGCTCTCCCCACTCCCTACCTCACCCGGGCCAGGGTCCCCAAGCAAGAAGCTGCCCCACAGCGAAGCGAAGCGGCCTCAGGCCAGGCCCCCACGGGCCTCCGTTTCTGCCTCTGCAAAATGGGCCCGCGGAGCCCCGCGCCCCAGGAGTCTCTGCTGCGGTGACCCCGCGTCTGCGCGTCCTCCGCGCGCCCCCCTCGCCCCACGACGCCGGCCCCAGCGCCGCGGAGTCTCCCGCCCGCCGCCCCCGTCCCTGACCTTCAGGCCGGTCGCCAGGGGCGCGGGCGGCCGGCGGTCAGCGGGTCCCGGCTCTCGCCCCCCGCGGCCCCCCCGACTCCCCAGGCCCTCCCGACGCCCCCCCCGCCCCCCCCCGCGGAGCCTCCGCAACAGGTGCCGGCGCGTGGGCGGCGCGGCCGGGGCGGGGCGGGGCGGGGGGGCGGGGCGGGGCCCCTCGCGCTCCCGCTGCTCCGGCTCGGGGCGCGCGGTCCCCCGGGTCCCCCCGCCCGCCGTGCTCCCCGCGGCTGGCAGGAGCCGGAGCCGGAGCCGAGCAGGAGCGGGCGCGGCGCGGGAGGCGGCGGCGCGAGGCGAGCCCGGCGCGGCGGGGCGGGGACGGCGCGGGGCGCGAGGACGCGGGGCCGACCCGGCGGGAGCAGCGGCCGAGCGGCGCCCCCGGACCCCTGCCCGCCGGCCCCCCGCGCCCCGCGAGCCCGGGCCGGCGGAGACATGAGCGCCCCGCGGCCCGACGCACCCCGGGCGCAGCGGCCCGGCCCCGCGGCCCCGTGATGGGCTCCTGCGTGTCGCGAGGTGAGGGCGCCGCGGCGGGGGGGGCGGGGGGCGGGGGGAGCCCCGCGCCGAGGGCGCGCGTGTGTCCTAGGGGTGGGGTGCGCTGCGGTGGGGGTGGGGGCGACCCCTCTTCCTGGCCCAGCCGCACCCCCACGCCACCGCCGCAGAGTCCCAGGGGCCGGGGATGGGGGGCCGGGAGGTCACCCCCTCCGGGGCCAGCCTGGAGCCACACCCAGGCAGGTGGCCGGAGGCTGGGTCGCGGGACAGCCACACGCCCCCGGCAGTGTGCCTGGCGGGGGAGCCGGCTTCTGGGTGTCCCTGGCTTCCCTGGGAGGACTTGGGGAGCTCAGGGAGAGCAAGCTGACTCGCCTTCCCACACACCCCCAAACACAGGCCTTGCTAACTCAACGCCCTGACCCCCCCTTCTCTCTCCTTATCCCATGACACTGTCTCCAGAGTCCCTGAACCCCATTGGCAGGAGGGGGTCCTTGGGGGTGAACAGGTTATAAGGAAGGATCTCTGTCCCCCACCCACACCCCTAACTCCTCATCCCCACCCCCAATTGGTCAGGGGACAGCAAGGGACAGACACAGCTCGTGTTCCCAGTAACCCCTGGCCTTTGTCTCTGGGCTTTAAAAGCATCCCCGACCCACTCTCGAGCTCTCCTCCGGTGTCCCAGTGCCATGGTCTCCCCAGGGTGGTATTGGGGGGAGCTAGAGTGAGTTGCCTTGGGTGGGGGTGCCGGGGATGTCTCACACAGAGCCTGGGGGATGGGCACGTTGGTCTCTGGAACCCTCCACCGGCTTCCTTAACAGGCTGCTGAGAAACGTTTAGACGGCTGTGAGTTAGGCCATCCCCCCAGCCAGGCTTGCCCCGAGCAGGACCAGGGAGCTGGGGTGGGATGGGGGTAACTGGGCCATTGGCTCGGCTCTACAGGCTACAGCCAAACCCACTAACTAACCACTGGGCCCTGGGGAGTCACCACCCAACCCATCACCCCTTATGGCTTACGCAGTTGTGGGGGGGTGAACAGGCCTCAGGGAGGCCAGGGTGGGCCCTGGAGGGGACCTTTTCCTGGGGGAACTTGCAGGAGCCCAGCCCCTTCTCTGTCTCTAAGGACTCGCTCACCAGTCCACGTGGGACATTCAGGTAAGTGGCTCAGGATGTTTCCGGAGGGGGCCAGCTCAGGCTGTGTGAGGTTCGCTCACTTATTCATTCACTAGCTGGTGCTAACGTGACACCCACGGTGTGCCAGACACTGTACATGCTGGGCAACCAGTGGAGATGACCCCTGCATGGCACCTGCTTTGGGAGGCCCCCACCAGAGAGATGTGTAGTTGGTTTTTTTTTTAAAGATTTATTTATTTATGCATACAAGAGCTGGGGTACAGGCCAGAGGTGTGGGGGGGTGGTGAGAGGATTCACCAGAGACAGAGTGGGGAACAGAACAGGCAATACACTGCCAAGGGGAGCAGCGGGCGAGACAGGAGAGGTCTGCTGCGCCATGTGGGTTGCTCCCTGGCCAGCCAGGGATCGAACTCGTGCTGCAGAGGCTGCGAATTGCTTCAGAGTGTGGTGCTTAACCCCTTGTGCCGCCAGGGAGGCCCCAAGGGACATGTAGTTCTAAAAGCGAGGTGTGTTTTGGATTCTTTAGGAGTGACAACTCCCCTGTGTGTTTCTAGAAGCCCAGAAAGGGTGTGTGTGGGGGATCTGGGATCTGGTGTTTCCTTGGCGACTGTGTCTCTGCCCCACCACCAGGCTATCCCACGCGGGGCACTCGGGAACTGGCTGTGAGCTGCAGACCCACTGCATGGAGTCTGGGGAGGAAGGGGTGCTTGCAGAGGTCACAGGGGGTGGTGTGAGGACTAAGGCTCCCAACGCCCCGTCCCAGCCCAGGAGAGGATGACCATGGCTCCTGACCAATCCTCAGAGTGGAGGTCACTCGCCCTTCTAATCGTCACTGATGCCCTCTGAGTGCTCACAGCATAGTCCTTCCTGCTTGCACACAATTAGCTAGCTTGGGGTGTGTGCTGTTCAAGTCCCCGTTTTACAGATGGAGAAACTGAGCAGAGGAGTTGACTGACTTGCCCAGGGCCACAGAGCTAAGAAACGGAGGCAGGGTTTGAACCCAGCACACTGACCCCAGAGCCTGGGCCCTGGGCCTCTGCACCACCCAGCCAGCCCTCAGCTCTGGTGCCTCCTGGCCTGCTCCTCCAGCGGCAGCTTCTGAGCCGCACCTGGCCCCCAGCCTGCACGAATTGCTAATTAGAGCCCCCTTTTTCCAAGGGGGGATTCCCCGGATCCAGTACATAGCCTGAAGCCAGGCCCTGGGTTGGAGCCTCAGGCCGATGCCCACACTGTACACACAGGTGAGGTCACCCTAGTTTAACCCCAAACCTCAGGTACAGCCACCCATCCCAGCAGCCAGCTTCTCCGTGCCTGGCATGACAGGCGACTGTGCAAAACTGCTCTATCACCCACTAACCCTGTGACCTCAGTTTTCTAACCTTAGTGTTCTTGTCTCTAAAATGGGGTAACGCCAGTATGGATGTCTGGGGCTGCTGGGGAGAGGTGGGGTTACATGACCTAATCAGTGTTGAGTACTCAGACCACTACCTGGTGCGTAGTGAGTGTTTGAAAGTGTAACAGCTGACTGTTGTGGTTATCCAGACCCTCTTGGCTGGGGAAGAGGAAGCGCTAGAGGCTCCCATCCTGCCTCACGAGAAAAGAGGCAGCACTTGAGGTGCTGAGGACAAGGGGAAACGTTTGGCAACAGATTCAGGCAACAAATGCCATTTCCAGGAGCTGTTTTGTGTTCATTGTCTATTCCTAAGTTATCTTTGCCGGGTGCTTATCCAGAGCCAGGCTGAGCCTTTACTCTCCTGACCTAGTTAGTCCTCATTCAACCCTGGGAGGGGGGCCTGGGGCTCAGAGGCGGGAGGAGTCTTCCCCGAGGTCACACAGCCAGGACAGAGCAGGATGTGAGTCTAGGTCTGTGCGAGCCCCAGGTCTGTGCGAGCCCCAGGTCTGTGCGAGCCTCAGGTCTGTGCGAGCCCCACGCCTGAGCGGGCAGCCCTGCCCTCGCTTCCTTCTGTCCCCCACACGGAGAGAGAGCGTGGCCAGGGCTTTCAAAAACGAACCTTCTAGAATAACTCCAGGGGCTCGTACCTGATTGGGGCTTTGTCCTGCCACTAGGGGTAGTCTGTATGGAGAAGGGTGAGTTGGTGGCAGTACCCCCTGCTCTCTCCTCGGGGGTCTCTCAGTGCCCACCCCATACCCCTGGCACCAGAACCTCTCTGCCTGAGCCCTCCTGCCCAGCCCTCTCTCCCAGACCACCTGCCCAGCCCTCTGGCCCCAGCCTGGGGGTCTCCTGTGCACCAGACATGGGGGCAGTCATGAGAGCCAAAGTTGGAGACTGAGAATTTTATTCTGGAAGGTCAGACTTCTGATTGCATCTGGGAGAAGGCACAACCCTACAGGGACAGAGCAGAGCCGCCTGCCCAGAGCCTGCTGGGCCTGCCCACCGCCACCCCAGTGCAGTAATCAGTGACCCTGGTGAGCAGAGACTCACTCCGGGCACTACGAGAAGGCTGTGGAAGGAGTCCATGGGCCTGGCCCTTCAGCAATTGTCTGAGGAAGGAGACACACCCTCACCCTCCGAGGAATGGAGGGGGTGGGGCAGGACACGTCTCCACGGCATGTACAAGTGGCCTGAGGGCCCTGGGTTTGAGCCCCATCCCTGTCACTTACTAGCTGGTGACCTTGAGAAGTGATGGAACCTCTCTGAGCCCCATCTGTGTCTAACAGTATCTGTTTGCAGACTTGTAAGGATTCAATGAGAGAAAATAGATGAAAAGGCCAGGGACAACACCTGACACATAGTAGGTATTCAGTAAAAAGTGGCAGCAAATCACTGCAGGTGATGCTTTCCTCATTAGGGCTGCTGAGGCAAACCTGGGCAGGCTTCCTGGAGGAGGTGAGTCTAGATCAGGGTATTCAAAAAGGTTGGGCAACAGACTGGCTGAGGAAGCAGAAAGGAGCTGAGGAAGGCCCAGGAGAGGAACCTGTTATCTCCTTTTGTCCTTGGTTGGGACTGGGAAGGGACCTCTGGGCAATTCTCAGCCTGCCCACTCACTGATGAAGCCAGCACTATGGCCCTGGGGGCCTATAAACACATGTCCTGGGGAGCAAGGAGCTCTGTGTCCACTCGGGCCAGGCCTCTGCCAAGCTCAGAGGGACAGTCTGCTGCCGTGACAGTGACTCCCCAGGTGGTGAGGCTGAGGACTCACCCTCTGCGGGCCCCCAGGGCCAGCTCCAGGCCTGGGCACAGAACCAGAGGAGTGATGACTGAGATTTGTCCCCTGGTGCAGAAAGAGGACCTGAGGTCTGGGAGGGGAGAGGGAGGGCGCAGCCATTGTGAAGTGCTGGCTGTGGCAGGTGCCCGTCCTCATGGTGGCCCCGTCCAGACAGTTGAGCGGGCAGCTGAGCGAGCGAGGGGTGCCAGCATCCTCATTTCACACAAGAGAGCCCTGAGGCCCACAGGCCTGGAGCCGGCAGGGCAGAGCTCGGGTTTACACCCACGGTGGGAATTTGCCCGCTGTGTTATCTTCGAGCCAAGGACAGAGCCGGTGCCCGGCAGCCTGGAGGGAGGGCTGCCTCTCACTGCGGGGGGGCAGGGTCCTGGGAAGCTCAGAGGGAAGCCCGAGAGGGTCCAGAGACCAGTGTTGACGGGGCTGTGGGCCAGGCTGCTGCTTGTTACTGTGTGATTTTAAGAGGAGGCTCACCCTCCCTGAGCTACTGGGAAAGAGCAGGGTTAATTGTGGTCTCGCCCTGCCCCCCTGGGGTGCAGAGCCCCAGGAGACACTCTGGGGGGAGAGTGCAACCACAATGACGAATGGATTGGGACCTGGAGCCCCAAAGGACAGCTAAAGGGGCTGGAGGACTCAAGGAGTGGCACGGGAGTGATTCTGCTGCAGACTCGCCAAGGAGCAAGCAGAGAAAACGAGCGTGGGTGCATTGCAGCAAGAGGGCTTCTGGTTAGACATCAGGAGGAACTGTCGGGGTGGTTGGATACTAAAGCAAACTGAGGTGCTGGTGCAGGTAGCATACTTTTAAGCAGCAGAGAAGCTCTGGTTGAAGGCAGCAGGATGGAGGAGACACCTGGGTGACACCCCTCTCCTTGAAGGACCAAGATGGCCCCTCCTGGTTGTCACGGCAACCACAGGCCTGTCACTTCAGTGTCCAAGGGATGTGGGGGAGGTGCAAGTCTGAGAAGGGGGCACAGACCTTGAGGTCAGAGGAGTAGTTAGTGGCCTGGGAAAGGAAGGGGTTACCTCCACAGCTCCCTGGGGAGAGAGTGGTGCCTGGAGGATTTAGGGGTCCCCTCAGACTGTCCCCCAGTCTCCACCCTACATGAAACGCTGTGTTTTTCCAGTTGCCGGTGGTGACATGGCCACTGGTCCCAGCTGGGCGAAGAGCAGCCTGTGATTTCACCCTGGGCTGGTTCATTACCTGACGTCTCCATGGCAACCAGCCTGTGACATCACGGGGCCAAAGTCCTCAGGGGGAGAAGGCAGCTTTGGTGGTGGGGGGCAGGGAGGCTGGGGACTGGGATCCAGGAGTCCTCCCAAGGCCACAGCCATCTGGACGAATGACCTTGTTCAAGTCACGTCTCCTCCGGCCATCCCGTCACCTTCCAGCTTCCCCCCTGCTGCTCCCCGTCCTCCTGGCCTGGGGTGGAGGACTCCAAAACAGCTTTGCAGGATGGCCAGGGACCCTGGAAATATTCCAGCACCACTCAAAGTTCCCCTCTTGGTGGACCCCGACTCGTACATGATGGGGTGACTTAGCCTTGCCAGTTCCAACTTTTTTGACTGGAACTCAGAGGAAGACATGTGTTTTGCATCATGGTATTGGGGAATCATGACACTTGTATGGCACACAGAAAATTCCTACCGTGCCTTTGTGTCTGCAATTTATTTTTTTTAAAGATTTATTTAATTATGCACTCAAGAGCTGAGGTGCAGGCCAGAGGTGCAGGGGGTGAGAGGATTCACCAGAGACAGAGTGGGGAGCAGAACAGGCAGACTGACTGAAATACACTGCTGAGGGGAGCAGGGGGCGAGACAGGAGAGGTCTGCTGTGCCATGTGGGTAGCTCCCTGGCTGGAGATCAAACTTGTGCTTCAGAGGCTGCGGACAGCTTCATAGGTTGCGCCTTAACCCCTCCGCCACCAGGGAGACCCTGTGTCTGCAATTTAAACAGAAGCTTTATGAAATGATCCTTAACCTGACTGCTTTGGGCACTGATAGTTTCCGGTCTCTTCTATTTAGTTTATATATATATGTGTGTGTGTATATATATGTATATATATGTGTGTATAAATTTTAACCTAGTACATGGCTGGTATGACCCAGTGAATGCACCCCCAGTGTATTCTTTGAACAATCTGAGGGGCCCTTGCATGTGTGGTGACGCTGAAGCCCAGAGAGACGGGACCACCTGGGGCTGCACAGCAGGAGTCAGGATAGAGAGTGAGGCGCGTTGATCCCAGATGTCCTGCGGCTCTTCCCTCCTGGGTCACTCAGCTCTGAATTCAGGGTACGGGGGTGTCTACCCTGGCTCCGCCCGCCTTTTTCCCAGTCCCAGCTTCAGACCAGCTCTCAGACCTCCCAGAACTGCCCGCCCCTAACAGATCCTGGGCAGGTCCTGGCATCATCCATCCAGATGCTAAGTCCAGGCCATTTTGGATGAAAACTTCACTTCACACCCGAAGGGCTCTCCCCTCCCCCTCCAGCCTGAGACCACAGCCTGCTCTTTCCCAGCCTGACCTCCTCCCCTGGTCCCTTCTCTGACACCTGGAGTCTGACGTGATGCACTGCAGGAAACACGGCTGAGACCTCTGCATTTATCTGTCACTCTCGGGTCCACTGGCCCACGGCCGAGGCCTCGGGGTGCAGGCCCCCAAAGATGCACTCCTGTATCCTGCAGCCAGCCCCACATGAGCACCCGCTGTGCGCCAGGCTCCCTGGCAGACAGACCTGGCGAAGGAGGGAACACCCAGAGAGCCTGGTGAGGGGAGAGCAAAGAGGGTGAAGCGCAGGACGGGTCTGGGTGACAGGAAAGGCACCCGGGGTGGGTCGGGGGGAGGGCTTGCTGGAGTAGAGTCCTGAATGGAGCGAGGGTGTGAACCCCGCAGCAGCTCCGGGAGGAAAGAGCTCCAGGCACAGGCCAGGAATGGCTGTGCAAAGGCCCTGAGGCAGAAGCGCACAGGGCGTGTCTGAGGATCAGCAGGAGAGCAAGGGTGCGGCTGGAGTGAGCAACGGGGAGAGGAGGAGAAGCGAGTTCCTGTGTGAGTTCTCGGGGAGCTGTGGGGGGTTGTCCCCCCGCAGAGCACCTGTGGTGGGAGAGCTGACCTAACTTGACCTCTTCCATTCCCTGCTCCCTTTTCCACCCTCCAGCCTCTCAGGCGTCTCCTTGTCTGCCAGCAGCCCTCTTGGGGGGGGTACCGGCAAGACTCAAAATTGGCTCCTTCATCCTCAGTGTCCCCACGTGACCCCTTGGCCAGAGCCTTGCCATGTGGGGGTGAGAGGAGGGGGTTGCTCCCTGGCCGGCTGGGGATCAAACTTGTGCAGCAGTGGCGGCCAATAGCTTGATAATGCTCTTTAACCCCTATGCCACTGGGAAGGCCCGCAGCTAATACTTTTGAACGAATCCAAGAGTAAATAAATGCACTAATCAAATGATTGATTAGGGTGTTCCCAGATAAAGCTGGGGGTGGCCAGGACCTCTTCGATTCTGCCCAAGATCTCAGCCTGGCAATTCCAGCTGTTCAGTTCCATGTGCTGATTCCCTCAGCAACTACCATGTGAGGTGATGGGCACCGAGGGTGCACCCAGTGTGCCTGCTAAGTGCCCGGCAGTGTCCTGGGCTCTGAGACAGAGCACTGGGCAGCGCCACTGTGGTCTCTCTCCTCGAAGTGTTCCCATTCTCAGTGGAGGGAGGGATTGGATGTTTAAATTAGCAAAAACACAGGAAGGTGATAGCTGCTTGAGAGGAAGCTGATGGTGATGGGGAGGGACGGGTGACCGGTGTGGGCACAGGGAGGGCTGCATCGAATGGAGTGGTCAAGGAAGGCCTCTGTGAGGAGGTGACCTTGAGTGGAGACCTGAATGATGAGCTGCAGAAAGTGTTCCAGGCAGAGGGAGCAGAAGGGACAATGAACAAGCTTGGCCATTCAGGGACAGCCAGGAGGCCAGCTTGGCCAGGACAGTGAGCGAGGCAGAGGCTGGGGACTGAGGGTGGGAATCGGTGAGCTGGCATGAAGGACCCCAAGGCCAAAGCAGGGGCTGGCTCTTCAAAGGGCAGGAGAAGGGACTTGTGAGGCTTTTAAGCAAAGACAGTCTGACCTGGAAGGTAAAGTCTTGGAGCTGCTGGGTGCATAGTGGACCTCGGGCTCGAGGCTTGGCAAGGATGCAGGAGAGGTCCTATGTGGGCAGCAGTGGGGACGAGAGGGATACATCTGGGGTGGAGGTTTGAGAGAGGCGGCAGGATTTGCTGGATGGCTGGAAGGAACTGGGGGACTCCCAGGCAGCTCCTGGATTTTTAATACCAACCCTTCAGCTTGGGGAGGCCTGCAGCACATCTAAAGTTGGGGAAGTGGAGGAGGAGGCACCCAGCTGAGGCACCTGTTGAGCATTCACATAGGGAGCTGGAAATTCAGCACTGCAGGTGCAAATGTGGGCACCTGTGGGCGAGATCCCCTGGGGAGAGATGGTGGGAGCAGGCCTGGGAGCAGCTGGGGGCAGATGGATAAGGAAGGAGAAGCCCCAAGGGGATGGGAAGCAACCAGTGAGGTGGCAGGGGAGCCAGGAGATGGGAGTGACCAAGAGGGATAGGAGGGCGGGGTGGGGCCTCCGGGTAGGCTGAGAGGCCTGAAAGGTGGGCCTGGAGAAGACTCTGCACTTGGCCACAGGGAGGCTTCTGGCTACTTGCCAAGGGCTGTCTAATGAAGGGCTGCTGGGAACGGGAGACAGGAAGCAGAGGTCGGCACAGCGTCTCCCTGTCTGGCCATGAAGGGGCAGAGGGATGGGTGAGGGCCTGCAGGGAAGTGGGAGGTGGGGGTGGCCCAGCGGTGAGGCAGAGTCCTTGAGAGAAGAGGCTTCACAGCTGCCCCAGTGCAGGCCAAGGTGGGGAGAGAAATGGACCCTTCTCGGCAGAGCTCTCTGGCTGCAGCAGGAGGGAAAGCAGGTGGTGTGGACAAAGATGCAGGAAGGGCCGTGATTCACGGTGGGAAGAATAGCAAAATGCTTTTCAGAGGCTTCCAGAGGAACATGGAAGGACCCCAGCTGCATCCTGTGTGAACCAACAGGCCAGCACCCCCTCCAGCGACATAGCCTGCTCGTCTAAGCGCAGGGGCGGAGGGTGGAGCGCCCAGGGCATCTGCAAAGGAGGGCCTGCCGGGATGCCAGGCATCTTAGCTGGGCCAGGAGAGAAGCAAAAACTTGGGGAGTTAATGGGACGTAGGAGACTTGGTTCAGAGGCCTCCATGTGGTCAAAAAATGTGGAGCGTGGGTCCTGGAATTAGTGAAAATGGAGTAACCAGCAGACGGGCAACTCATTCCCGCTGAGGAGGCCAGGCGGGAGGCGGTCTGGCCAGATGCTGCCCCGTGAGCCTGGGTCTGCTTCCTGCAAAGGGCCCTGGGTGGGCATCGCGATGGACGCCCGGAGGAGGCCCGCCTCTCGGGGCGGCTGGAAGAGAGCGCTGGGCCTTCCTGAGTCCGTCCTGTCATCCTTATTTCCAGATCTGTTCACAAGTGCCCACAAAGACTGCCCCATGCCGCAGGGCACAGGCCCCCTCAGCCCAGACTTGCCCGCCGGCCACCCAGCCATGGTTGCTCCAGATCACGTCACTAGCAAGGTAAGTGCTCCCCCTGCAGGCCCGCCTCACCCCTGCCTGGGCCCTGGCCTCTGAGCTGTCCCCAGCCACGCCCCACCACCACCACCCCCCACCACCCCCCACCCCGCGTGGCTCAGAAACCTCTCCAGTGCCCTTCCCTCCCTCCCTGGACTACTTCCTGTGGGACAGGGCCCAGAAGGTTCGGTAGGTCAGTTGTCAGCTGGAGGAAGGTCTGACTTAGACATCTAAGCCCTCGACCTGGCTTCTTCAGAAAACAGAGCCCACCCGGAGGGTCTTCCCGCTCAAATTAACAGCCTTGCAGATAACCATTACCAGCTGGGACTCCTTTAGCTTCCTCTGGAGAGCGAAAGGACTAGAATTCTCAGTCCAGGTGGATTAGGAAGAGCTTGCAGGGGCGGAGGGCCGCGGGCCAGATGGGTGCATCATTGCCACGCTCACCCCAGAAGTTGTGGCTTGAGTCTACCAGCTGATGTAATTATCTCGCGTGGGATGTGTACGTGATCTGTACTGTGTGCATGTGTGTGCATGTGTGTGTGTCCGTGGGCACACGCTGTACCTAGCTGTTGTGCCAGGCACTATGTCATGTCACTTCTATACCACCATGACCGGGAGGTAGATGTTGTCACCGTCTACAGGAGAAGGAGCTGGTTAGGCTGCCAGCCCAAGAACAGCCAGGTGGAAGTGGTAGTCACAGCTCCAGCCCTGCCCAGACTGCCCCCCACCACGCCGCCCCTCCCAATAGAGCCGCCATTGCCCCCAGCTGCGATGGCTGCATGCCAAGGGGTCAGGGCCCGGCCAGTGAGTGGCAGACCCCGCCTTCATGGACCCCTGCACCCCCACCCCAGCCCCGGGTTCCCGAGCTCTGCCATCTGCCTCTTTCTCCTCTTATTTTAGGACAAACAGATGGATTTCTGTTGGGATCCTTGGCAGGTCAGTGCACCTGCCTGTCCCCCAGCCCAGCCAACCCCAGATGACCCCACGGCCTTGTCTGCTGTGTGCAGCCTGGGCACACGTCCTGCTGCCCCCGGGGAGGAGGATTCGGTCCTGTGGGAGGCGGCATGAGCCTGGGGAGCATGAGGAGGGGTGGAGGGACGCGGCAGACCCTGCTCCTCCCTTCCTGCAGAGGTGCTTCCAGACCACCAATGGCTACCTGTCAGACTCCAGGTCCTGCTCCAGCAACTACAACGTGGCAGCCCTGGCCACCTCGTCCCTCGTGGGTAGGCCCCAGCTGCCTTCTCCTGCCCTGGGGGTCCGCGGGGTCCACCTTAGCCACCAGCCTCTGGGAGGGCCAGCTGAGGGTAACTGGAAGGGGTGCAGCCTTTGAGCTCAGCAACTCCTCAGCACCAGGCTGCCGTGGGCTCCATTGCTGGGTTCTGCGGAGAGCTGAAGGGGTGGCCCCAGACAGCAAATGAAACCTGCCACTCTGCCCTCTTGGGTGGGGTTCCTGGGAACCCGAGCTGGGAACTGTGAGGGTGATGTATTGAGGGGTTATTTTCAAGGGCAACCTCTAGGAATGGGGTGCAGGATGGAGCAGGGGACGGAGCCAGGCAAAGACAGGCATGTGGAACAACTGTGGTTTTCTCAGCCCGAGCCTGCAGGGTGCTCTACACTGTAGAATTTGCACTCTTGGAGGCCAGGGGCTGATTCTGCCATCCTGGGCCAGCCCGAGGGAGGCCTCTGCGCCCCCCAGGCACTTCTGCGGGAGGGGAGGCGGCTCACTCTCGCTAAAGGCAGGTCTCCAGAGCAAGGTGGACGTGTGGGCACTTGGGAATGGCCATGCAGGCTGGGAAAGCATCTTCCAGGTCCTTCTCAGCTACCAGCCTCTGCTCACAGTTCTGGTGCATGTACCTCGTCCCTCCTCAGGAGGCCCCCCCCTTTGCCTGTGCCCTTTCCTGCTTCCAAAGGCCCTTCCCTCCAGCCACCACTGGAGCCAGCTCCTCCAAAAGCCCTGTCTGAGGGCCCACAGGTCCCACAGAGGAGGGGCTCTCCCCACCTCACCTCTGCTGTTCCTGTTCCTTATACTAGCTTCGTTGGTAGATATGTCGTCTTTAAAAATATATATTATTTTTGTTTATTTATTTATACATTCAAGAACTGAGGCAGAGGCCAGAGGTGCAGTGGTGAGAGGATTCACCAGAGACAGAGTGGGGAGCAGAACAGGCAGATTGATTGAAGTACACTGCTGAGGGGAGCAGCGGGCGAGTCAGGAGAGGTCTGCTGCGCCATGGGGGTAGCTCCCTGGCTAGGGATCAAACTCATGCTGCAGTGGCTGCCCCTGTGCCACCAGGGAGTCCTCAGATACATCATCTTGCTTAAATATTATTGTGACTGGGCCTCCCTGGTGGCACAGGGGTTAAAGACACAGCACTATCAAACTATTGCCAGCCACTGCAGCACAAGTTTGATCCCCAGCCAGGGAGACACCCACATGGTGCAGCAGACCTCTCCTGTCTCCCCACTGCTCCCTTCAGCAGTGTATTTCAGTAGATCTGCCTGTTCTGCTTCCCACTCTGTCTCTGGTGAATCGTCTCACCCCCCGCACCTCTGGCCTACACCTCAGTTCTTATATGCATAAATAAATCAATCCTTAAAAATAGTAACAATAAAAATAAATAAATACTGCTGTGACTCACATCGTGGCTTTAGGGACCCCAGTGCCTCCTGGCACTGTCTCCCCAGCCTTGGTTAAAGGAGATGCTGAGTCATCCTTGACACTGTCACCTTCCACATTCAGCTGGTCCACTCCTTACAACCCATCCGCCCAGCTCCGTCCTATCTCCTGCTGCATCCCTCCAGTGACCCCAGTGGCTCCTGTATCCACCTTTGAGTTAGAATGTCCTTCCCAAATGACAGATCTGCCCTGTCCCTCTCCTGCTCATTACCCTGCTGTGGCTCCCCATTGCTCTGAGGGAATGTCAGAGCCCCTAGCCTGACCCTCTCAGCCCATAATCTGGACCCTGAAACGCTCCCCAGCCTCTCCCACCACCCAGTCCTGGTGCTACCCCCACCTCGCCCCAGTGTTCTGGACTCACCCCAGGCCCTTCACTGCCTTCATCCTCCCTGAAACCACCTCCATCTGCCCAAGCTGACCTGCGCTGAAGCCCTCCTCTAGGCCACCTCTACCTGGACACCGTCCCTCCCTGCTGCACCCACAGGTCTCACTGCAGCAGAGCTGGCCCAGGGGAAGCTCTCTGGGGACTTGCTAATTAAAGGGGGGGGGATCCTTGAATGATCTCCTTGGGCAGAAGATCTGACCCCAAAGGAAATGAGGGTGCAACAGGTCTGGCAAAGAAGCAACAAGAGGTGACTGGGAGCAGGATGCAAGAAGAACAGCTGGAGAGCACCAAAGTGAGGGATGCCCAAGGGCTTGGGGGTGGGGAGTGGGCGCAGGCATTGACCAGACCTGAGGAGTTGGGCAGGCACAGGGCACAGGAGGGTGTGGGGCTTTAGGACACAGGCACTGGATAGGTACAGGCCACGGGGTGGGCCTAGGGTGTTGGGGGGCGCAAGCCAGGCCTTGTCAGGGAGTCACCCAGCTGCCCTCCACGCCCCCAGGGGTGGTGCAGAGCATCAAGGACCACATCACCAAGCCCACAGCCATGGCTCGCGGCCGCGTGGCCCACCTCATTGAGTGGAAGGGCTGGAGTGCACAGCGGTCGGGCTGGGAGCTGTCCCCCGTGGATGACGAGCATTACTGCTGCCTCCCAGATGAGCTGCGTGAGGCCCGCTTTGCTGCAGGTCAGTATTGGGGTGAGGGCGGGGGGCTCAGGGCCAAGGATTGGCTGGGGCTCTCTCTGGTCCTTGGGGGACCCAGAATCACCACTTCAGGGGTATGGTCTGGGCAAAGAAGATAGTAATATGGGTTGGGAGGGGCATGGGGTGGGCACCCCTGACCCCAGGGACCTGATTGGGCAGTCCCGAGAACCTACTAACCCCCCAGATTATCTGGCCAGATCCCCACTCTGAACCCCAGTCTCACTGTGCCCACAGGGGTGGCTGAGCAGTTTGCCATCACGGAGGCCACGCTGAGTGCCTGGTCATCGCTGGATGATGAGGACCTCTACCCCGAGAACAGCCCCCAGGACATGATCCAGCTGCAGGGTACAGCTCTGTGGGTGCCAGGGCTGGGTGGGTATAGCTGGGTGTCTGCTCTGCCCCCAGGGGACCGCAGACAAGCCCCCCTTCCCTCAGATCAGCCTCAGTTCCTCATCTGTGATATGGGGCTGTGACCCTTGTCCTGCCCGTGCCCCCAGGAGTGCCCAAGCATAAGGGCGCGCACACTCAGGCGCTGGGTAGTGTGGATCATGTAGTTATCGTACCAGGTTTTACATGCGTGGTTCCACACACATCCTCACAACAGCTCCAGGAAGTAGATCCTGTTATCTCCATTTGACAAGTAAGGGAAACTGAGGCACTGAGAAACTGGCCTCAGATGGCCCCTAGAGGCGTGACAGCCAGGTTCTGAACCTAACCCCAAGCACCCCTGGGAGGCCCAGGTTCCATGAGGGGCTTCGAGGAGCCCAGCTCCTGGGTGATGCCGCATCGCCGTGTCTCCATCAGTCCTCCCTCTGACCCTGTCACGGAGGGTGTGATGGGAAGTCTGCACGCTCCAGCACTCACCAGGTGCTCCTTCCACACCCGAGACCCCTGGGAGAAACTGGGGCACAAAAAGGTTTGCTAATTTGCCCAAAGTCACACAGCTCAGGAGTGACAGCAGCATTTGGAGGCAGGTCTCCTGCCCTGACTCTCCCTGGCACCCCGGGAAAGGAGCAGCTTAGGGCTCCATCACTCAGTGTCCCCCTTGGTTTTCCAGACCTGGAGAGCATCTACCTTCAGGACAGCCTTCTGAGCCGCCCCTCGCAGGATGATAGCCTCCTGGCCTTCTCCTCCCCCGGCCTCTCCCCCGACTGGCCCTCAGCCGAGGAGCCCTCCATCACAGCGGCCGGACCCCAGCCCTCCAGTCCCCAACAGCAGCATCGGAGGCGGCTGCCAGGGGCCCCGGGGCCTGAGGGTGGGGCCCACCTGCAGGGCTCGCTCCCCTCGGTGGACAGCGGCTCCCTCTTGGAGGAGGAGGACGAGGTGTTCTATAACTGAGGGGGCTGTGCCCCAAGCCGCAGACACCATGACTTCACCTGGTGGGCAGCCCAGGTGTTCCCGGGCCCGGCATCCCTGGGCCCCCAGGGCAGGCGGGTGAGGGCGGCAGGACGGGCCGGCACTCCTGTGGACCATCTGTGCCTCCTTCTGTACCTGGCTCAGGTGGGCACCTCCCCCTGCAGGCCCCTGCCCTCAGGGAGCTCGAGGGCTCTGCAGACACCAGGGCTGGTCACCTGGAGGAGGTGACGGCCAGACCCCCAGGCAGACAAGCACGGAAGGGCCTGAGAGATCCCCTGGGATTGGGGCCTGGGGACCCTGCCTTGACCCCTGGCTCAGCCCCTCGCCCCTCCCTCTGTGCTTCTGCCCCCCCATCAGAGGTGGGGTAGCCTCTTCTGGTAGCTAAATATCTGCCCCTCAGCTGTCATCACACAGAGACCTGTCTCCTTGAAAGGTCTGTCTGCCCCTTGCTCTCTGAACCCTGGGGGCCCAGCTCCCCTTCTCTGCGCCCCGCCCCATCTCCCCGAAGGTTCTCTAAAGACATTAAATTGGTGGATTCACCCTGGATGAACTTGGCCTGGTCTCTGCAGGGGAAGGTGTATTCTTGGGCCCCTGGGGGTGAAGGCTACAGGAACTTAGGGAAGGGGCCTACCCCCCAATACACATGCATCTGGTCAACCTGCTGCTGCCCAGCTAGGAGTGTCCCCATGAAGGATGCCCGAAACGGTGGACTCCCACCTCTCTGCTCTGTTCAGCTGGGAGGCTGGGGCTGGGCTGTAGGTAACTGGTCAGTGGGTCCTGCTTATGCGTGAGGACAAGCAGACCCGGCTGGGACCTCGCCTTGCCTGGCACCTCCATGCCAGGAACGCCTGCCAAGGGGAGCAGGAGCCCAGGGACCCAGGCCTGCAATGCTCCTGTGACCACCGGGCGGCGCACGGACGAGGAACCAACCCAGGCTCCTGGGACTGGAGACCAGCTTTATTTTTCCCAGCAGCCTCTGGCTGGGAGTCTGACCGCCTCCGGTGGGTGTCGCGGCCGCCCCGCTGCCGGCATACCCGTCTCTTCAGTTGCGAATTTGATGAACTCTCCTGAGCGCCGCTGTTGTCCACTGAGTTCTGCCCAGGTAGGATGTGTCTTCCGAGGCTGTGGCACGTGTGCCAGCGAGGAGGGGACAGGGGCGGCAAGGCGCTCTACAGTGCTGGGTCAGAGCTGCCCGCCTCGCCAAGAAGTGGAGGAGCCGGAGGGAAGGGGTGTGTTGTGCTGGGGGACAGAGGCAGGATGCACCCACTTTCACTTTGGGGCCGGTGGGTTTGTCAGGTTGGAAATGGCTTTCTTCAACTAGAACAGAGAAGGAGGGTTTTGGGAGAGGAAAGATGTAGGGAAGGCTGAGAGGAGGGGTTCCAGTTTTGTTTGACTCCCCTAAGGGTTGGTGCTGGGGTGAATGTGAGAGCCAGCGCTTCCCCATAGCACAGGGGGTTGGCAGGGTTGGCCACTGGCCACAAAACCAGGTAGTTGGATCCATTAACCACTGGTTAGAAAGTGGGGCTCATCAGAATCTCATAAGCCCGCCCCCCCCCCAGATTTGGATGGGAGGGTATTGGTGGCCCCCCACCTCCCCAGCTTGCTCAAGCGTGGCTCCACCCTGGGGACCCAGGTACCTCCACCCAAGACACGAAGCCCACAGCTCGGCCCCGAGACGTGACGAAGACAGACTGAAGGTTCAACAGCTCGAAGAGATTGTGTGCCTGGAGGAAGGGCAGCTAGGAAGTTCTGGGGGGCAGGTGGAGCTCCCCCTGTCCTCCAGCTTCAATTTCTTCCTAGCCTGGGGGCTTTGGACAGAGCAGAGGTGAACCTGGCCAGGTGTGCGGTGTGACGGGAGGAAGACAAGACCTGAACCCGCAGTGTCTGGTGTGACCACCAGGGGTCGCCAGAGTCCACACAAAGGCCCTTCGAGCTGGCGAAAAGGCTCTTAGCAGGCAGCACCTGCCAAGTCTCCAACCCACTTCTGCGCCTGCCTAGACTCCCTGTGCCAGGCTCTGCACTTGCAAGGGAAGTTGATCAGCATTCAAAGTAATTAAGTAATTTGCCCAAGATCTCACAGGGAGATTGTGGTGAATGTGAAATTGAAACCCGTGTGTGCCTTCTTGCAAAGACAGACCTAGAGTCTCGCTCCACGCAGAGGCTTCTGCCTCCCAAGACTTCCCACTCCTCAAGTTTCTGCACCATCCCAACAGCCTGGGAGCGAGGCTGCTCTGCCCATTCCGCAGATGAGGAGGCAGGTCCAGGAGGAGCAGCGAGGAAGAGAGCATGTGGAGAGGCTGGGTTCTCCCCTGCTACCCCAGGGTCGTCTTCCCACATGCCCAAATTCTATTACCTGGTGCAGGGAGGTCTCCGGGGACAGCTGCAGGGTCACTGGCTTTGTCATGCAGCCGCCAGCCAAGAGGTCCTGGAGACACCGCTGGGAATGGGAGGAGTATGAGTGCAGGCCAGTCTCCCCTGCCAAACAACTCCCGCCTTCACAACCCTACTGACCCCCTCCGCCTCCCAAACCCTTACACAAGTTCCCACCTGACGTCCTGGAGCCCAGGAGGGTGGTTCAGCCTGGAGAGCCTGCACCAGCTGGGCCCTGCTCACGACACCCACCAGGATCTGAGACTCTGGACAGATGGAAAGGGAGAGCGAGAGGGCTGCATTATAAAGAAGGAATTTCTATTTACTGAGCACCTACTATGTGCAAGAACTGTCCTCTCAGGAACCTTCAGCAGCCTCTGGGCAGGAACTGTTCTCATCAACCATTTTTACAAAAGAGGAAATAGGCACAGAGAGGTTAATTGTCTGGCCTGAGGTAACTCAGCTTCTGATGCGGAAGGATGGCAGCTGAGTGCTATGAGTAAGGGTGTCAGGATGCCTGCAGGGAACCTGCCCTCCCTGAGCTTCTCCATGCAGCAGAGCCTCAAGTCCAGAGCAGGTTTGGGACACCTGCGTGAAGGGGCAGTGGATCACCCCATGTTCTGAAGTCTTACTGGGCTGGGGGCTTGACAAGCCTCACTCAGTGTATCCTAAAATTTGCAGGGATTCCATTTCTTTTTTTTTTTTAAAGATTTATTTATTTTTATGCAAGAGCTGGGGTACAGGCCAGAGGCGCAGGAGGGTGAGAGGATTCACCAGAGACAGCGGGGAACAGAACAGGCAGAAGGACCAAAATACGCTACTGAGCGGAGCAGTGGGCGAGTCAGGAGAGGTCTGCCACGCCATGTGGGTAGCTCCCTGGCCGGCCAGGGATCAAACCCGCACTGCAGAGGCTGCAGACAGCTTCACAGCACTGCGCTCAACCCACTGTGCCACCAGGGAGGCCCCAGGGATTCCATTTCCAGAGAACAGATAGCCTGCTGTCTTATGCTTCTTGTCCAGTAAAATAAAAGCTTTACAACTAGACAAAGATAATCAAACAATGAAAGCTATTTCTCTGGTGAGCAGAGGGGGACCCATGTTTGGGAACTCTGCTCACTGTTACTCTAAGGGAAGAGAGAGTTGGTCTTTGAGGTCAATTCAGTCTTTGTTCCCAGGTGTTAAGCCTTTCATGGGCTCATGCATATGCAAATATTTTCAAATCTTGTACTGGGGCGTGTTCCGTGGGAAAAAGTTAAAGGTGACCCAATTTGCGTGGGGAGAAGAGCCTGGCGTGTGGGATGAGACCCTCTCAATCAATCGATATTACAATCAATACTATGCTGACTCCCGTTTTCCAGGTGAGGAAACCACAGGTCGTAGAGCTTAAGCGGTCTACCCGGGCTCTGCTGCTCATAAATGGCTTTATGACTCTGGGTATGTGGGTATGTGGGTGACCTGTACGGTTGCGTAGGTTGTTCACTGCACCAGATTCCTGCCTAAAGAACAGGGGAACCCAAATCCAGATGTGCTGTATTTGTCAAGTGTATATACCTTGTCTCATTTGCAGAGGGGGACATACAATCTAGAGTGACCTCAAGGGGCCATGGCTCCCAGCTGCCCCCCCAGTTTATCTTTCTCATTCATATTGTACATTCATTTTTTTTAAAAGATGTTTTTCTCATGGCATCAGGAAGGAGACTTGGCCTTCTGGGACACTCTAGTTTTGACCCCATCATCCTATCCTCACTCCACAAGCACACCAGGCCTGGGTGCTGGAATTCCAGGGGTGTCTTATAAGCATCCTCTCCTCTCTCATATGAACATGTCAGTTCTCCGAAGCTAGGGAGCTTGCTTTCTCCATTCACCAGTGGGAAGACTGGAGCTCGGGGTGGTGAAGTGATTTGCCCAAGGTCACACAGGGGCAGAGCCTGGATTCAGATCAAGCAGCCAGACAGGCCCACTGTCCTGCTTACCCCTTCCTGGGCCTGACCCTCCAGGCTCTAAGAGGAAAGCAGAGGCTGTGTCCCCTCCCGTTCATGCTATCCCCTCTTTCCTGCTGGACACCTGTGCTCTCCACCACGGGGTACTCCGCTGTGTCTGTGGAGGTCACGACCTTGACCACCTCCTCCAGGGGCGTGTCCTTGGCCAGCGTGGTGATGGTGACAGTCATGAAGTGCTCCACAAGCACGCTCTGAGAGCTGGGGGCAGAGGGATGCCCTGTCAGGAGCTAGAGTTGGGGGGTACCCAGGCCCCAGGACAGGGGACCACTTGGGGGGGGGCACAGATTGAGACATTCCTAGAATGAACAGCTCCTAGAACCCCAAAGGCAGGATAACCCTGGAGACCAGCCCCCTGTGGCCCGGCCCTGGATCCCAGCCCCTAACCCGCTTTCTCCCTCAGACCAGCTCCACTTTGCTCTGTTTTAGCCAGAAGCCTTCCCCGGAGAGCTTCATTTGAAAAAAAAAAAAAATTTGTGGCAAAAAAAAATAAATAAATAAAGTCTGGAAGTTTGCAGGCCACTGGAGTAACCACCCCCATTTTACAGGTGGCGAAACTGAGGTTCGGGCCAGCGGCACCACTCACTTGATGCTTCGGCCCCGGACCCAAGGCAGGTACGGCAGCTTCTTGACGATGATGGTGCCGTCATAGAAGGAAGGCTGGCAGCTCTGGGCGATGGCGTTGGCCGCCAGCACCGCCATCAGCACCGGCAGAGCGTGCACAATCTGGCCGGTCAGCTCGAAGGCCAGCAGCGCCGTGGAGATGGTGTGGGTCACGGCCCCTGAGAAGGCCGCGGCCCCTGCACGGGGCAGAGCCGGACAGGGCGACTCAGGCCAGGGCCAAGGCACAGGGTACGGCAGGGTGGGAACGTCCAGGGCCACCTGCCGGCCACTGTTGGAAGTGCCCCAAGGGCACTGGGGCTCAAGGCTGGGAGGGACCCCAGTGGGGGGAGCTCAGTGACCACCCCATGCCCTTCAAAGCCTCTGGCTGATTCTCCAGGTCAAGCCCAGCCCCATGATGTCTGCCGTCTCCACGGGACCGACCACTTACCTGCCAGAGCGTACCCCCCAGGCATGATGGGGTTGGTGACCCCATCGGCCACGATGCCCTCAGGGAAAGCTAAGGCAAGGGCCTCCCCCAGGAGGCGCCCGGTGGCAGCTCCTAGTCACAGACTTCGGGTGAGGAGGGGGTGCTAGGCTGACCCGGCCCCCACAGCCCCGCATCTCAGGAGACGTATGTGGGTAACTCAGGAGGGGGAGGAGGCCGACTC